ACTTTTTGATTTTTATATTTTTGATTTTTATATCTTTACGATATTGATTTTATTTGAATTGTTATTTTTGATTTATATTTTTAGTATTAGTATTTTACACTTTAGTTTAGTTTTTCTTTGATTAATAGTGAATTCACTTATTAATCGTTATAAATCTTTTGATTTATTTTTATATTTTTACCTCTTTCTCAAATTACTTTGTAATTTAGATCTTTGAACATACAATATCTGTAGATATTGGCACAGGTCTTAGAAATCTTGCTAATATTTATAATTCATTCTCTTTATTCAAGTTTAATCACCCCTCTTCCAACATCATATGCTTATAGTGATTCTCAGTGAAACCCACTATTCAGAATCGCTGTAACACTATAAATAAATATAATTATAAAAAAGATTAATTATACTAATTTATAACTCTAATTATAATTTAATTTTTGATTAAATTAAATTTGAATCAAATTTTTAATTAGATTCAAATTTTTGAACTGAATATTTGATTTAGTTCAAGTTTAAACTAAATTAAATTCAAATCAAATCATACTTTTTTTAGAATTTTTGAAATAGATTTTATAATAAATTGAAATAATTTAATAAAAAATATTTTTCTTATATATAAAATAAATATTATTATAAAAATAAACTCATTATTTTTATATTATTATAATACTTTTGGTATAAGAATTTATATTTTTGTCATATTCTGCAATATGATTTTTTATCATGGATTATGTGATATTATAATTAATTATATAATATATAATCTTATCAATTTAATTAACTAATTTTATTATATATAATTTTTATTATATGTATTTTTTAATATAAAATTTTATATTAAAAACAACAATTTAATTAACTAATTTTATTATATATAATTTTTATTATATGTATTTTTTCATATAAAATTTTATATTAAAAACAACTTTTCATGCACTTGAATTTTTTTATCTTTAAATTGCTTGCAAAACTAAATTACTTATACTATATACATTACTTTAAATAATTGATTAAATTTCTTAATTTTTATTTGGTTTTTTTATTTTGTTCTTAAATACTATTTTTCATATTACTTTAAGTAATTAAATAAATCTCATACTATAAATAAGAAAATATATATACTAGGCTCAAGAGTCTTAATAAAATTTTGAATTAATTATATATAGTTCTTTAATTATATTTATAAAACTTTTCTTGAAGTTTGATGATTAAAAAAAAGTTGAGCTAGAACAAAAATTAGAGCAATTAGAAAAAACCAAAATCCAAGAATTAATTAATTTTTAGAATCTTTAATCCAAACTAAATAATAATTAAAATTGATTTCTTATTTAGTTAATAATTAATATATTATTATATAGTTTAAGAGTTTTAATTAGAGATTCATAAAGTATTAAGAACAAATAAATTCAGACATATTATCTAAAATTCTGAACTATTTCTTTTATTTACTCTTAATGAATTAAAATAATCAGTCATAACTCATTTCACGGTTGGTTATTATAACCGATGCCTGAGTGAACACTTTACATTTTTTGTCACTGAGGTTTGTTCCAATTAAAGGAAACGAACAAACATTAACTATTATTTTTTCGAGCTCGTTTTCATCACATGATACTTCCATAAATTCTGGTTCAATTTTTTCGGATTTTTCATACCATTTACACTCCACAACAGGTTCTTGAACCTTCAATCGGAAACAGAAAATCGATATTATCTGTCGGATAATCACAATAACCATCAATTCGATTTCGGTTTTTCTTTCGGGTTTTTTTATCGTACGGTAACGATTAACCTCTTCCACAATTTTTTCCCGCAATTGTGCAATGAACGGATGCTCACCTTCTTTATTAGGGGTTTCAAATCCTCGATTGCTAAGGATAGCGTAAACAAGCTGGCGTATTCTCGTAGGAGCGGCATGGATAACTTCATCGGTTCCAACACGATATTTAGAAAAATCATCCATATATTCTAGAAACTTATTCATTGTAGAAACCAAATTTGCTTCCAGATATTTTCCTTCGGTCTGGAATTGCTCGTTTGCTTCTTGGATTCCTGCATTTTTGAGTCGCTTATCAGCTTCTTGGATGACCGTTTTGATGATATGTTGTTGCAAGACACCTTGGATTAGAGTTTTGTTAAGTTTCTTTCCCATGGTTTCGGTAGAATGTCCATACATATTCAAAAGTTTTTTCGCCTCCTCCTCATTTACATCGGTTCTTTTTAAACTGCAAAACATTTCAAGGTCGCGTTTTAAACCTTTGATGTCATTTATCAGTTGACCAACATTATCAAGATCATGATCTCCAAAACGAAAGTTTGTTGCCTCTCCCAAAGCGAGTTGATATTTAGCAGCCTCGTCTTTCAGGGACGTGTGCGCATCAACCAGATTTTGTATTTTCTGATCTTTCAATTTTAAATCTGCTTTCAACTGTTCTTTTTCGTTATGGAGCTGTTCGATATTTTGACCTAATGCGTATTGTTGCTTTATTGTTTGTTCATTTTTCTGGATCTGTTGATATTGATATTTTAATATTTGTTCGTATTTATTGAACTCTTTAAGTTGTTGACTTAATATTTGTTCATTTTCCTTGATCTGTTGATGTTCATTTTTCTTGAGCTGTTGATGTTGATTCTTTATTATTTGTTCTTTTTCTTTCTGGAGCTGATGGATCTTCTGATTTATCTCTTCCAAAGTGGTAACCTCGTCTTTCAGAGACGTATGCGTATCAACTAGATTTCGTATTTTCTGATCTTTTAATTTCAAATCTGCTTTCAACTGTTTATTTTCATTCTGAAGCTGTTCGATCTTTCGATCTAATCGTTGAACTGATTCGGTTTTTTTCGAAGGGTAGTGAGCGCCTTCCATATCCTGGGAATTATCTTTCGTCCCTGATTTAAAGAAATGTAATGCGTATATACATGTATATTTAAACTATTATCGTTATCGTCATCGTCATCGATATTTCATTTGAAAGTCTTGTTACTGTTACGTTAATTAGCAATGTACATGTAATTAGTGTACGTAATGATCATAATTAGTAATGATCGTAATTAATAATTTCGTATCGTGTTCTTTATATTTTTGCCTTTTTTGGTGAACAACGAGGATGATACAGTGCATTACAAATTATCTAAATGATGATGGATTAAAAATTATCGCCATTACATGAATGAGAAAATAGCCACATTCTTAAATCGAAGTCTTTCCAAGAAAATTTATCGTGTCTGTTTCATTTTTTCTTTGTTTTAGTAATTTC